AAAAATTTATTTTTGTTTATCATGATGAGATATTATTGTTCGGATATATTCCTGTTTAGATATTTGAATGATGCATGACTTGTCAGGGTATTTTAATATATGGTGTTAATGGAAATTTCTGTTCGGTTAATTATTACCATGTGGTAAGCCCTCATTGGACCCAATGAGTGGCGTGTCGCTTGGTCCAACTCACCTTTGGCCGGGTGATTTGGCGTCCGAGCATGGCGAAAGGAGGATATAAGGTGCAGTCATGCAAATTAAATACTTGTTTGATTTGTTTGAAAATATGGTTCTGTTAAATGTTTTGTGTGTCCACCTAGCAATCACATGATTAGTTACAACCGCATGCATCATTACATATTAATTTTTAGTTACTGGGACTTTTAAGTCTCATTCCCCGTGGTAAATATTTTTACAGGAGTGAGTCTGGCCGAGAAAGTACCAGAGGTGTAACTATGGTGTGTGAGACACCATCTTTTATGTTGCCTCTTATTTTGGATTATACAATGTATCTTGTGCCAACTTAGGACATATCTTCTTTGTGAAGCATGTAAACTTTAATCCTTTTTATTAAAAGTATTTATATGACTAAGAGGATTATGTCTGTCCCTCTTGATTTATGATCTGATTTGAATATCATGTCATGAGGATTATGTCTGTCCCTTATAGTTTTAATTGCCTTTTTGAGATATTTTAAGACTTGTGTTATGTCTTGGATGTATCATGGTAAGAAAATTTTCTACCATGATAATGGTTTTAATAATTTGCGAAAAATTGGTTTGTAAATTTGAGGGTGTTACATATTGGTATCAGAGCATCATGTTTCGAGCCTCTATTTTAGTAATACTTATTTAAACTTTTGTTTGAAACTATTACTTGTTTGAATTTAATATGTATTAATATGTGTGGTGCATTGCATATAGTCGGTTGGCAATATACATTGTTATGGTGCTTCTCATTGTATGGTTAGGCTAATTTTATTCTTTATATCTTATATCCTTTAGGAGGGGAGAGAAAATGCCTGTTACTCGCGGTAACTTAAGATCCTAATATGAGCACCTACCACCGCCACTGCTAAATGAGGAGCTTGACTTGGCGGAATTGAGAATGCTTGTAAAAACATTAACAGACAAGGTTCAAGGATACGAACAAGAGTTGACGGAGATAAAGAGGCAAAAAGTAACTAAAAATGGAGATAAGGCTCATGTTGAGAGTCATGTGGAGGAAGGTAATTCCTCACATCCTGCCACTCTGAGAGATCATGAGTCTAGAAGGGAGGAAATTAGGCAGAAGGAACAGAGAGCCCCACCGACCATTACTGATGTGTGGGAAACTGTTAGGAAGTTTAACCCTCCTACATTTGATAGTAACCTTAAACCATCTGTGGTAGAAGAATGGGTAAAGAGACTCGAGTCCATCTTTCGAGTAGTCACATGCACCAGTAATCAGAAAGTGCAAGTAGCATTAGTACTCCTAGTAAAGGGAGCAAGAGATTGGTGGGAGACAGCAAGGCCCAGGGATGATTCTACACTCACCTGGGAGGAATTCAAGGAAAAATTATTCAGGCATTACTTTCCATCAGAGTTAAGGTCTGAGAAGGAAGCGGAGTTTCATGCCTTCAAGCAAGGGAACCTCGATGAGAACACATTTATTGCTAAGTTTCAGGAGTTATCTAGATACTCCACGTACCTGCAGTATAGGGATGATTCTGAATGGAAGGCCAAGCGCTTATTAAAGAAGGCTAGACCAGAATTGAGGGAGCAATTGGCTCATCTAGATATCCGAGATTATGATGAAATGTGCATAAAAATACAAGTAGTAGCTCGCAATAAGAAGGAGGTTGAGAGAGAGAAAAGGGGTTATTCATATAGTAGACCCCCAACCTACCCTCAACCCACCGGAGGCATTATGAAGAAAAAGCATCAGGGTTCGAGTAGCTCATGAAACCAAGGAAGGCAGAAGGGTCCATTTCAAAGGGGCCAAGGACAGAGGAGCTATCATAGTAGTTATCACGGGTCACAGAGGAGCCCAACAGTATCTACCCCTGCCCCAAGTACAGCGAGCTCTCAGCAGTGCACTAAATGCGGGCGCCGTCACTTCGGACAGTGCTGGGTCTGTTACATTTATGGCAAACACGATCACATTGCAAAGTTTTGTGGGGACAACTAGGGCTCAAATATGAAGAACCCTTCCCAACATCCTACTGTCTCTGGCCGTGTGTTTGCTCTTACTCAGGACACCATGAACTCCCCAGATGCTATTAGAGGTAACATCAAAATCCTTCATCATGATATTATTGCACTATTTGATTTAAGTGCTACACACTCTTTTATTTCTGAAACTTGTGTAAAGAACCTTGATTTGCCTGTGTGTATTTTACCTTTTGATATGAATATGTCTACTCCTGCAGGAGAATCTGTGAGGACTGCTAAGGCATGCCTTAACCTAGTAGTCGAGTTTAAAAATAGGAAAACAACTATGGACTTAATTATCCTACCACTGAGAGGTATGGATGTAATTGTGGGAATGAATTGGATGGCTGTAAATGGTGCTATCCTAGATTGTAGAGAGAGGAGTGTGTCTTTATCTTCTTTGTCGGTGACTCCAGTCGAGACTCAAGATCATGTTTTCTTGTCGGCGGCGCAAGTTGATAGATATATGAAGAAGGGTTGCCAGGCCTACATGGTTTTCTTCTCTATCCAAGCTGAGATTGATGAAGGCATGAAGAATATCCCAATTGTTAAAGAATTTGTGGATGTATTTCCAAACGAAATCTCCGGTTTACCCCCAAAGCGCGAGGTAGAGTTCTCAATTGAATTGGTACCCGGTACAGGGCCAATTTCTAAGGCTCCTTATCAGATGTCCCCCTCAGAGTTAGCAGAATTGAAAAAGAAAATTGAAGAGCTACTTGAGAAGGGTTTCATTAGACCAAGTGTTTTACCTTGGGGATCGCCAGTCCTTTTTGTAAAGAAGAAGGACGGAAGCCTCCGATTGTGCATTGATTATAGACAATTGAACAAAGTAACCATCAAGATCAAATATCCACTTTCGAGAATCGATGATTTGCTAGATCAGCTTGTAAGATCAGCAGTTTTCTCGAAGATTAACTTAAGGTCAGGGTACCACCAATTGAGAGTAAGAGCGGAGGATATACCTAAGACAGCATTTCGAACGAGATATGGGCATTATGAATTCATGGTGATGCCATTTGGACTTACGAATGCTCTTGCAGTATTCATGGATTACATGAATAGGATCTTTCGACCCTATTTAGATAAGTTTGTAGTAGTGTTTATTGATGATATTCTTATTTATTCAAAGGATGAGGAGGCTCATGGTGAGCATTTAAGAATCGTCTTGCAAGTTTTGAGGGAACATAAGCTTTATGCCAAATTAAGCAAGTGTGAATTTTGGCTCCAAGAAGTAAAGTTTTTAGGCCATGTTGTGTCCAGAGATGGAGTTGCGGTGGATCTTAGCAAGATTGATGTAGTGATGAAGTGGGAACAGCCAAAATCTGTTACAAAGATATGAAGCTTTCTAGGTTTAGCAGGTCGCTTTATTAAGGGATTTTTGCAAATTGTGATGCCCTTAACTAAGCTGACTAAGAAGGATGCCCTGTTTATTTGGACTGACAAATGTGAAGCTGCTTTCCAAGAATTGAAAAACAGGTTAACCACTACTCCAGTGTTGACTATTTCTGACCCTATGGTGCCGTACACTTTGTACACTGATACTTCTTTAAAGGGTTTAGGATGTGTTTTAATGCAAAATGACCGAGTGGTTGCCTATTCTTCCAGACAGTTGAGGCCACACGAGGAAAATTACCCTACACATGATTTGGAGTTGGCTGCAGTTGTGTTTGCTCTGAAGATATGGAGATGCTACTTGTATGGATCTAAGTTTCAAATCTTCAGTGACCATAAGAGCCTGAAGTATTTATTTGATCAAAAAGAGCTTAATATGAGGTAGTGACGATGGATGGAATTTCTGAAGGATTTTGACTTTGAATTACATTACCATCTGGGTAAGGCTAACGTGGTAGCTGACGCCATAAGTAGGAAGACTATTCATGCTGCACATTTGATGGTTCATGAATATCATTTGTGGAACAGTTTTCATGATGTTCCAGTAGATGTGATTGAACATCAAATGGCCACACTCCAGGTAGTAGACTTTGAGAGCAAATTCTGGGAAGATCTCAGAGTCTCACAGCAAAGTGATGACTACTTGAGGAATATAAGGAAGGAGAAAAGTGGCAGGTAAGGCCCCAAATTTTACCATCTCTGATGACACAGTGATGAGATATAAAGATAGAGTTTGTGTACCTAATGATCCAAGATTGAGGAATATCCTTTTAGAAGAGGCTCATAGGAGCAAATATACAATTCATCCCGGTATAACTAAAATGTACCATGATTTAAAGCGAGGTTGGTTGTGGCCAAGAATGAAGAAAGATGTAACCGAATTTGTTTCTAGATGTTTAACGTGTCAGAAGATAAAGATAGAACATCAGAAGCCAGCTGGAACACTGCAACCGTTAGATATTCCAAAGTGGAAATGGGATGATATTTCCATGGATTTTATCACTGGACTGCCAAGAACACCCTCGAGTAAGGATGCTATTTGGGTGATAGTAGACCGACTCACCAATCGGCTCACTTTTTAGCGATCAAGTTTACCTTTACATTAGAGAAATTTGCTGAGATATACATTAAGGAGATAGTCGGACTTCATGGTATACCCTCTAGAATTGTGTCAGATCGTGACCCAAGGTTCACTTCAAACTTTTGGGGTGCACTACAGAAGGTTATGGGTACTAGACTGAGTTTTAGCACCGCATACAACCCCCAAACAGATTGACAAATAGAGAGGATGATCCAGACTTTGGAGGACATGTTGAGAGCTTGTGCCGTTGAACTACCAGGTAGTTGGGATAATCATTTGCCATTAGCTGAATTTGCTTATAATAACAATTATCATTCTAGTATTGGGATGGCGCCTTATGAGGCCTTGTATAGAAGGAAGTGTAGATTGCCTTTGTGTTGGACAGAATTAAGTGAGAGGAGTATCATTGGTCCAGAAATTGTAGAGCAGACCACTCAGAAGATCGCTATGATTAAACAAAAATTGCTAACAGCTCAAAGCCGACAGAAGAACTATGCCGATAAGAGGAGACGGCTGTTAGAGTTTGAATTAGGAGATCATGTATTTTTAAAGGTTTCTCCGGTGATAAGCATTGGTAGATCCATTAAGGCAAAGAAGTTGACAGCTAGATTTATGGGCCCATATGAGATCTTGGAGCAAATTGGACCTGCTGCATATAGAGTTGCATTGCCTCCACAGATTGCAGGTATCCATAATGTGTTCCACGTATCACAGTTGAAGAAGTACAACCCGGATTCCTCCCATGTTATTGAACCTAAAGAAGTGGAATTGAGGGAGAATTTGACCTTTAAATCTGAACCGGAGCGAATTGAGGACTTTAAGGATAAACAACTGCGCAATAAGACCATCAGACTCGTGAAGGTGATTTAGAAGGGTGGAGCCCTAGGTGATACTACCTGGGAGACCGAGGAGAGTATGAGGCGAGATTATCCACATTTATTTGCTTAGGTACATAGTTTCTAAGTTTATCTATTAAATTTTGAGGACAAAATTTCTAAAAGGAGGGGAGAATTGTAACATCCTAATTTTTAGAAAAAAAATTTTATGGAATTTAAGTTTTATTAAAAAAATAATAATAATAGGAATTTATATTATTTGAGATTATTTAGAAATAATAATATGGTTAGAAATTTAATTGTGAATTTAAAACTTAGGTTTAAAAATTATATAAGAAATATTTTATTAAGATATAATTTTAAAATTTAGAATAATAAAAAAAATATATGTGTGAGTGTGAGTAAAAAAAAAGAAAGGAAAGCAAAAAAAAAGGAGGTTAGTCCCACATCGATTAGATGTGGGAATGAAATGCGCCTCTCATGTGTAAAAAGAGGAGGCGCATCATGTAGGAAGTGTAAAAAAAAAAAAGTTTTATGCAATTTGTGAAAATTGCAACTAATGACCCAAGATGCAATTTGTGAAAATTGCAAGTAATGGCTCAAAGATTTGAATAATTAAATTCAAACCTATAGTTTTTTTTATATATAATTGTGGGATTCACAATCCCATTTTAATATTATTTTTCTCTTCCTCTCACGTTGCTTGGTGTTTTCTCGCAAGGGGAGATTATTTTCTTTTTCTTCAGGTATGTTCCAACTTTCCTGTTTAGATTAGTATTTAAAAAAAATTTATTTATTTTCTAAATAATATTAGCTTTCTAGTTATATGATTATTTTGTAGAATAGAGTAAATATTCTGATTAGGATTTTTCTATAGGATAGTTAATCTAATGATATGATGGATTAAAAATATAGGTTAAAACTCTTAGGGATATAATAAATATTATAGAATATTTTTTTGAGGTTGAAACTCATGTTTAAGAAATTTTGAGTTAAAATCTAGATCTATATGGTTGAATTTATGTGGAATCTGAGATGTAGGGATAAACCTCTAATTATTAAATATTTATTTAAGTATGAATAGATATTTTTGAGGTTATAGAAAGGTGATTTAAGGCTTCAGGATAATTCTAAAATTTTTAATTTATTTTTAAACGAATTTTTAGAATATAGATGGATGAAATTGTGATACTAGAAGTAATTTGAGGCTTAAAAATAGTTTATTAGGGTACGAGAATTTTAAAAAGAATTTAAAAAGTTAAATGAGACATAAATCTTAAATTAGTGTCAATATGGATTTTAAATCTAAGACTTTCTAACTCTTTAATTTAGAGTTATTTATTAATTTTAATGTAAAATTAATATATAGTATTGTGAAATAATTATGTAGATTATATTGACAAAGATTGTGAAAGAGGAGTTGTGAAGGGGAACTTATTATTCAAGACACAAGGTAACCATTATTAATGTGTTGTGATGGGTGTGTTTGTGAATGGTTATATGTTGTTTTATTGTTTGGAAAAATTATGAATTAATGAAAATAAATACTGTATATATACTTATTTGAAATTATTGCCAAGTGAGTCAAAAATTTATTTTTATTTATCATGATGAGATATTATTGTTCGGATATATTCCTGTTTAGATATTTGAATGATGCATGACTTGTCAGGGTATTTTAATATATGGTGTTAATGGAAATTTCTGTTCGGTTAATTATTACCATGTGGTAAGCCCTCATTGGACCCAATGAGTGGCGTGTCGCTTGGTCCAACTCACCTTTGGCTGGGTGATTTGGCGTCCGAGCATGGCAAAAGGAGGATATAAGGTGCAGTCATGCAAATTAAATACTTGTTCGATTTGTTTGAAAATATGGTTCTGTTAAATGTTTTGTGTGCCCACTTAGCAATGGGACTTTTAAGTCTCATTCCCCTTGGTTAATATTTTTACAGGAGTGAGTCTGGCCGAGAAAGCACCAGAGGTGTAATTATGGTGTGTGAGACACCATCTTTTACGTCGCCTCTTATTTTGAATTATACAATGTATCTGTGCCAACTTAGGACATATCTTCTTTGTGAAGCATGTAAACTTTAATCCTTTTTATTAAAAGTATTTATATGACCAAGAGGATTATGTCTCTCCCTCTTGATTTATGATCTGATTTAAATATCATGCCATGAGGATTATGTCTGTTCCTCATTATTTTAATTGCCTTTTTGGATATTTTAAGACTTGTGTTATATCTTGGATGTATCATGGTAAGAAAATTTTCTACCATGATAATGGTTTTAATAATTTGCGAAAAATCAGTTTATAAATTTGAGGGTGTTACATATTTATAAATATTTTTATATTGGATTAAAATATAAAAATATTTAAAAATTATTCTCTAGAAATTTTTAACATCCTTAAGACAACAATAATGTACAAATATTTATTAACTTTATTGAAAAAGCTAAGCTTTCTCAATTTATTCAATTGTTTTTTTAAAATTTGATGGTCAATGTCATGTTATTATATTAAATTAGAGAATGTTTTTTTTAAATTAATGAGTACTTATATATTATTATTGAATTAATGATATAAAAAATTATTGAACAAAAAATTTGATATCTTGCACCTAATTTTTTGTCAAGGCTGTCTAGAGTATGGCCGACCCTCGATGATTTCATGAGTTCCACTCACCTGGATTTTTCAGATGCCAAACCTTTCTTGTGGGACCGTAGACATCCCAAGAAGATCCGAAATCATGCCATAGTTGTAATGCCCTCTGCATTATGCAATTGCGAAGGGCCATAGCATCACATATGGCAAAAAGATGAGGAGCGAGATTGGATAGCTGTGATTTTCAATTTTTATTTTTAAATTAAAAGTGGTGGTCAACAAAATTTTACAATAAAAGAGATATTGATTGGCATGTCAATGGGGCCAAAAAGGAAAAAGAATAAAATATTGACACTGTTTTGCCTTAATTACGGCTACTTCTATATCTTTTGGCTTTTAAACCAACTTACTTACTTATTAAAAAGAAATAAAATAAATAAAATAAATTAAAAAATAAAAATAAAAATAAGATAATTAAAAAAGATAGGTGGATGCATGCATAAAGAGGATAAGTAATTTAATTTATAGGGTTATGAATTATAATTTACAAAATTTTTGAAAAGCGTGATAATTTTCACATTTATAATAAATATTAATAAATTTTGTTATTATGCTTCCCATAGAAGAAATAATGATTTAGTTTATTTTTTATCTCGATTTTTTCAAAATATTTCATTTCATTTTATTTACTTCTAGTAACCAAATGAACCACATTGCTCACACCATTACAAGTATTTTAAAAGATCCTAAAATAATATTTTTTCATTGTATGAAAACCTGGACTGGACCAGCCAGTTTAACTTGTGAATCAATGACCCGATTTCTTTTTTGGTTTGGGTTTCCACCTAAACCGACCATCTACTCACCTGGTGTGACCCAGCTGACTCGGGGTCAACCCGGGATAACCCGACTAACCTGGTAGTTGGGTTGTTGGGTCAACTTAGTCAATTTTTAATTTTTTTGTTTTTAATTTTTTTTAAATTGTAAAAACTAAATAAAAAGTAAAAATTTAGCTTGGAAATTTAAAAAGCGAGGCAATGGAGCGCAAGACAATTAAACTAGATTTTACTGTTTGTAGTTTGAACTTTAAATAGAAAGCCTTAATTATACATTCAAACTTAAAAGATTCAATATTCTTTTAAATTAATTGTATCTTAATTGTTTTAATCTTTCATTATTTCTTGCTGTTCATTTGATTAATTGTTGCTTGACATTTATGAATTATGACTATTATTGTTGATGCTTTTAGTATTAGTAATGATTAGTTTTGAACTTTTTAATAATTGAAGAGTTGTAAATTGTAACTATAAGAATAAATAATCAAAAAGTTATATTTTATTATTGTTAGATTTTTGGATGATTATAATTCTATAATTATTATTGTATTTATATCTTATATTAGAAATTAATATTAGGTTTAGTTGAATATTTTCATGATTGATTTTTTTATTTAAATTATATTATTTTAATCATGATTAGTTTGCCCTCCGAGTTGACTCCCGATTCAACCCAATTAAACCACTAACCCATCACCCATTAGCTTGACCAGTTCAATAATCGATCTAGTTTTCAACACCTTGCATTTATTCATTACAAAGGAATAAGGCAAAGTATAGATTATGCTGGAAAAACAGAACTCACTGCGCAGCCTGATTACTATTACATGTTTATTCAAATGAATTTTGACCACGACCTCTATAATATACAAAATTATACAACATCATTCAATTTTATTATCCCTTAATTTACAATTCTAAGGACTTCCTTTGCATTCTAGAGGCAAATCGTCCAACCAGGAATCATCCCAAAGAGGGCCTGATGAAGATTCCATTTCAGTGAACCATTCACCACCAACATCTATTTCATCATAGATAATAGGTCCAAATTTTGATTCCCTACGTTGGGAAATGGCTTGTAACCACAGATTGCACTGCACAAAAACCAGATCGTTGAATTTTTCCAGCTCCACGTTGTTGCGTTTCTTGTTATGTATACTCTCGAAAGTGCTCCAATTCCACTTGCACCAATGTGAACTACAGGGTTGGCTTAATATCCGGATTGCAGCTCTCTGAAGTGTGGGGATTTCATAACCATATCCTGCCCACCAGTCACCTGGAGATCCACAAATTTGACTAAGTACTTGAGTTTTAGAACAAACGCACAACATGCATGTTCGGTTCAGATAAACACGAAGCCAGACTGTCCCCAAAACACACAGACTCGTCAAAAATTTTAAGGCAGTCCACCTCCGCCCCATTCATTTGAAGGGGAATGATAGTTTAGTTCCAGAAGTTCAATTTAAGAACAGTTAGGTCCCAAAAAATTTTTAGTGAAAGATGAATAATAAATACTACAACAATAAGCTTAGTCTCACTAGGTAAGGAGCTGAGGGAAACGAATGGTAACACCAGAATGAGTAACAAAAACCAATTTAGACAATTGTAAATATGAGAATCTCAATTGCAAATCACTAAGAGTGATTTATGAGACTTGAATACTTGATTTGCAATTTAAACTCTCACATTTGCAGCTCATCTTTCACGAAAATTTCTTGAAGTCTAATTATTATTAAATTGATCTTCTGGGATCTAAGTGTTATTTTCCCACTATTTGACACGTTGCTTATAATCATCATTGTACCTAAAAGTTGAACTTTTTTCCAAGCTGCAGTGTTGCACTCATTATGGCAGCAAAAATTAAAATATACAATTCTTTTTTATTCCATCACTAGATATCCGAGGAAACCTAGGATATTATCATCTTTTACGCAAACTAATCTAAACCGCATTATGTGAGATTTTTATTACTAACAGCACCCTAATGAGTACTTCAAAAATGTCTGTGGTATATTTATTTATTGTAACTGCATATCTTAGAACTTGAACTCGAGACTCCAAAATAATACGATTTCAGATCATTCAACTAATTGGATCAAATGCCCTTCGGTTGAAAAATATTAAAGTTCCAGTGACAGAATGCAACATAAACTAATTTTGGCATAGACTAAATGATGAAAAGCAACTTGTGCAACAATAACCACGTAGCAAAAGACGTATAAACCCATTCCAACAATAACCCTGACAACAAATTGTTCGGCTGCTAGAGATGACACATACCTGGGGCGTTTAGTGTTCTGCCCAAGATAGCAAAGTCAGTTCCGAGTGCGCCTTGTGCATTGATGTAAATAGGATGTTCTTTAGTGATTTCCATTTTATCTATATCTGTAGTGGCCATCTTAAGCATCACTTCTTGAAATCCATTCCTCATCCGCAAATCCATTTTGAAGTTTGGACTGTAGAAGATTGAAGGATTAAGAAATGCAGCTGCAGCATGTAATGATGAATGAAGTTGCCTGTTCCATCTCCTATCAATTATATCCCAGATTGGCAAGTATTTCTCTTCGATTCCCTTATAATAGGACTTAATCAGAACCTTTGTTCTCTCAATTCCCTCATATATATAACCCATGGCAGGCATGTCCCCATCAACCATCCTTAGGATTTTAATCAAGGGATCAGAAACACACACAGCTTCATGTGCATATTTCCAAAAGCTATCTAAAAATAACAATGACTTGATAGCTTGTGCATCTGGATGTCTGCTATATATGGAAGATAACCACTCTGCATGTGAAAACATATGCTTTAAATTATCCTCCTGTACCACTACAGACCTCAAGGAAAGAAAATTAGAGACAAATCTATTAATTCTTGGCCTGATCAATTCCCTTCCGCCAGTGAACTTTCTCATCATATTCAGAATCCATGTATGACTATAAATATATTGGGTGATAGTCTTTGCCTCCTCCAGCACTGTACCTACCCAATCTTGCCTACCAATGTCCTCTAACATCTTATCAATACAATAAGCAGCACAAGGAGACCAAAACAATGAACTATACTTTGACATGAGAAGCCTTCCAACATAAACATAATTAGCAGTGGTGTTAGTTATAACCTGAACAACATTTTCTACACCAACCTCCAAAACAACAGACTCCATCAATTCAAACAAGTAAGTAGCATCATCTTCATGACCAGAAACGTCAACCAGCTTAGAGAACAGTGTCCCTTTCAAACATGCAACAGAAAATACCAGTAGTGATTTTGTCCTGCCATCGGACCAGCTATCACACAAGATTGTGCATCCTGTTTCTTTCCAATTATTTCTGTATTTCTTATGGCGATCGTGAATGTCACTTTTCACTTTTTCCCAAAGACTAGACCTCAATCTCTCATAACTCGGACCCTTGTATCCTTCCCCACAGGAGGCTACAGCATCCACCATCTGCTGATAATACATGGATTTAGCTGCACTAAAAGGAATACAGTTATGGAGGAAAAATATTGCCATCTTTTTATCAGCATCATCCTGCTTTTGCTTATCAGGATCATCCACTAATGGTTGGGCAACTGCGGAAGGATGTGGAATTAATAAAGATGGACATGCACTGTCATTCTGCCCGTTAGATACCTTGTTAGGATGAAAGCCACCACTAGCAGAAGAGCTATTCTGTTGACCATTTGCTGCAGCTACTTGATCCACCTTTTGTTTTTTTGGAGCCTTCTGTTTCTTCGGAGTGCTTAATATATTCAAAATATGGTCCCGTACATCAGCAGGAACTTCAGTGCAGGGAACAATGTCCTTGTTTTTTACTTGAGCCAAGTGAAATTTCATCCTGTATACTCCTCCACTGAACTCCCGTTGACAATAATTACACCTGACCTTCTGTCTTGTTGCATCAACAAGAACACAGTGTTCCCAACAGGCATCTCTTCCTCGAACCATTATCTTGGTAAGCATGGTAAAGACAGTAATATTGTTATAAAATGAAAATCTGGAATCTAAATAGGAGTTTTCAGAAAATGAGAAAAAACTAATAATGAATGAAGATAAACCGCAACTAATGCTATCAAATCAATGGGAAGTTTTACCATGTTAAGTAAGAAAATTGCACAGTTCTTGGAAGAAGACATTGAATAAAATCATTAACAATTTTCAGAAGGGACGCACTTTCAGATTCATTCCACTATTAAATAAAATTTGAAATCGCCATAATAAACTATGCAAAAGATTCATGTGCACAGTGAGACAGGAAGATTGTGTTAATGCGGCTGTGTGTTGTGAGAGAGTAAGCGAGGGATGAATCTTTTATGGTAAGCAGATAGCAAGATGATCCAAGAGAATCAAAAGCATTAAAAATGAAAGAAACCACCATTACTTCATTGATTCTTGCATATTTCCTTCGGACAATTTGATGAAAGTAAGTGGTCCATAAAATAGTTAATCAACTATCATACCTAATCCAAGTTGCAGATTCCAACAGCTATATTCTTGATCTATTCTTACATTCTTCAAAAAAAATAAGCCGAATGTAGTCATCACAACATAAGTAAGAATGACTTATCTATGCTTTCTCAAAAAATAAGCCGAATGTAGACAATTTAAAAAAAATACAAAGGAAGTAATATTTCAAAAGAAGCTGCGAATTCAAAACCTGTCAAGCTGACTGTTGTGAAGATCCCTCTAACTGACGCAGAGTATATATCTGGAGTAAATGTGCATGGCAACACAAAAAGCTACTAGGTATCTTGAGCAATGTTGATTAATCATCCCTAAATACAAATAGCAGAAGTTGAATGTAAATGCTTAGCCATTATAGAATATTCAACATCAGCCAGGACAGGATGCTAAACCACAAACTACGGAAAATTAAATGGTATCAAGTTGATTAAACAAAGGGTACCAGGTTTCTTCGCATATCGTTTCAGTTCCCCATGATTTCTTTTCCCATTCTCAGTCGCGTCATTGTTTTGACAAAATGGTCAAGGCAACAAATTGGCCCAAGTTACTGCTTCCTTTTGCACAAGAAGGCACCTCTTGAACACTGGAAATGTACAGTAGTTTATTCTTATGATAAAAAACCATGGTGCAAATGAAAAGCATAGAAAGTAAAGGGCAAACTAATAGAATTGGAATTCCCTGGAAATTTACTTGAAGAAAAGAAATGTCAATGTTATTATCTGCGGCCAAACGGAGGCATAGAGCAGAATATCGAGAAAAACAACGGGAGAGAAGGTACCTGCTCGCTGTGAGAGTGAGAGAATCCAAAAAGAACTCGTCAGTATGCAGGTCGGAGAAAAAGATTGGAGTAGTCGGACGCAACAGCAATATTGATCGGCGGCTATCGGAGGGAATAGAGCCAATCCGAGGAAATGGAAAATCACGCCGATAAATTAGTGGTCCTCGCCAGGATTGCTTCCGAGGAGGCGTGGAGATTAGAAAATCGTGTAGTGGGAATTTTTGGTGCCCATAAAAGATCGTTTCGTTTCCCCCATTTTTAATAATAATGAAACTTCCAGTCCTCTAAATTTATTAAGTGCTCCATTTAATCATTTAATTTTAATTTTTATTAATTTAACTTTTTTGATTTATTTAAATTATCATGTTAGATGTTGGTTCTTTTAAATTTTAAAATATAAATTAATTCTTAAATTAAGATAATATATAAAAGGAACAATTTTATTAAAGTGTCTTAAATGTAACATAATTTCAAACGCTACCTAAAAAAAAAATAAAATTTATTGTAGGTTTGGGGGATTGAAATAAAATAAATTTAGTTAAATAACTAAAATGTTCTTTACTTATAATTAACATTACATAATAAGTCAAGTTATATTTTTTATAAATAATATTATTAGATTAACAAGTCAAGTTATAATTTGTACGAGTAATATTATTGTAATAACAAATCAGGTTATAATTTTTACAAGCAATATAACTAAAATAACATGTAATATTATAGTTTTTATAAGTAATATTAATAAAATAATAAGTTAAATTATGATTTTTATAAATAACATTATTATAATAAAAAAATTAAGTTATGATTTTTACAAATAACATTAGTAGAATAATAAGTTAAATTAAGGTTTTAACAATTAATGTTAATATCATAAGAATAACAAAAAATTATTTTATTCTACTAGTGTTACTTGTAAAATCCGTAACTTGACTAGTTATTTTATTAATATTACTTATAAAAATTGCAAGTTGACTTATTATTTTAATAATATTAATTTTAATTAAAGGGCATTGTGATCATTTAATTAAGAAAATTTATTTTATTTTAGTCCTCTGAGCATCCAGTAAAATTTCAAAAAATGTTGGATTCCATTTGAAATTACATCACATCCTAAAGACTTTAATAAAATTCTCCCCATATAAAATATATTAATAATTTGACACATATATATATATATATAAATGAAAAAAGATTACTTCCAAATTAGTTTAATTTTTATCAATCAATTTTCTCGCCATCTGTTTTATTTTTTTTAATCTTGAGTTTTTTTTCCTACTTAAATAATTACTCTTGCTTTTATTAATATGCTGTAAACAATTATTTGTCTATATCAGCAAATTTTACAAGTGTTATTTGCTCTCCCACTAATTAAGACAAAATTAATAACTAAGACAAATGTAAGAGATAAGATTAATAAAAATTAAATTTAAAAAATTAAATCGATAATTGAGGTGAATTTGAGACACTAAAAATTTTATTATTTTTTATATATTAAAAAATAGAATAACACTTGTTTTCCATAAAAAAAAGATTAAGATTTAAACTGTCCCGTGAAAAGTTAATTTGTTTAACATATATGAAGTATTAAAATGTACAACTAGGGAGACTTGCATCTGCTCAGGGAACTCGCACACTTGAAAAATCAAATTAAATCGTTTTTACGAAAATATTAAATTATAAATTATTCTTTTAATGTACTAAAAATAGTACTAAAATCAATAAAAAGATTACAAGCTAAGTAAGAAATATTCCCTCTTTTCACCACCACCACCAGTAGCAGCAGCAGATAATAAGGTGGTGGTTGATTAAAGACACCATAAAGGGCTTGAATAGCTAACAAATAAGCACATTGGTTAGCTTCCCATTACATGAAGATTCAAATTAATATTTCAATTTGTAATGCCTTCATGACATTATCATATAATCCTACACTGATTCTACTAATCATTATAAAATTATTTATTTTAAAAGTTTGGCATCACAGATAAAACATTTTTAAAATTATTTAATAATATATCCAAGATATAAAATATTACACAGCAGAAGCATCATGCAATGACACTTCAAGGTCAACTAAAAAACATGTGCAATCAATCAAATTAATTCAAGCAAGGGCCACGTGTTGCGGCTCGTGCCACATGTGCCGCGGCATGTGGCACAGAGACCTCAACATCACTCTTTGTATTGTATACCGTGGCATGTTATCCCTTATTGTCACACGCGCCGTGGCGCACATATTAGAATCTGCTGTCAAATTTTAGATTCTGATATGAATTTCAGATATGTACCATTTTTACATTCGATATTTGATTGGGGTGATTTAAGTGTCAACACGAAACTTGTTTCAAAATCTAACCAATGACACTGGTTTCATTTCAATTCAATATCCCATTTAAAAGTTAGACACTCAAGTGTACTTTAACCATTTTAAATCAAAATTGGCCACTTGAGTACCTCCAAATGAAACCATATGTCATTAGTCATTTTTAGGGCCTTAACTATGTCTAAAAGGACAAATACCACCTGATTGAATAATTCAAATCCTATCATCACACATATACACATGTTTGGCCTGTAAACTGCCCATTACATGTAACTTGGGCAAAATTCACATTTCTTAAATTTCATTCATACACAAGGCCAATTTCACATATATACCACACAATCGTCATATTCGCACACATTATCCTTCATCTACTAGCCCACACTCATTTTCACCACATATACACAAGTTCATTGGGCTAGAATTCAAAAGTTACCACACACACGTTCACAAGTTATGCATAAATGCTGATTCCTATAAAAACTTTTACACAAAACCAGTACTATTATACTCAATTTCATTACACTAACTTACAATAGGCTTTTCAAAGAAATCTCTACTCAACTCGTTTTCCTTTCCCTTTGCTCTACCACTACCAGGACTTGAAAAATATAAATAACCATGGGTAAGATCAAAATCTCAGTAACCAATATAGTTCATTTAATGCCTATTAGCATAAATAACCATGTCAAAGTAACAAAATTATAGTAATAATATATATACATCAAAACATATTGAATTTCCTCTTTTAAAGCATTTCCACACAATTTCCACAATAGCATGATTATCTAGCCACCGAACCTCTAATGCTCCTCGACACAAAACCATAGACTTTATTAGATCAATCGCACATTAACTCGAGCTCACTTTTAATGGTAGAGACACCTAGTCAAAGATAATCTATCCTACTTATGGACTATGGTTTCTCTCTTCTCACATACTTGTGATTGAGGCGTTGTTGACTCCTAATCATATCCTAACAGGTACTAAGGAGTTGTTTGATTGTTCGGATGTCTCATAGTAATAGTCTTAATATAATGTTGTACCAAATTACCTATGGTACTTGCCTATATAATGTTGCACCGAATGTCTCATGGTGCCAACCTGACCATATAAATTTGTTCACTCACATTTCCACACACACACATCCACACATACCTTGGGTGAACTCCCACCCCCTCTGATCATGCTTTTTGCACATATTTCCCCAATTTTTCACAATTTAAACTACATACATATATGCATGCATACAATACATACATACATATATATATATATATATATTCAATCAAAGCTAGAAACCATCAACTTTTATCTCACAAAATTGATTTCATGCTAAAAACCATTTACAATGCTAAATCATGCATAAAACTCATGGAACAACAAGTTTCAAAATTTTATATTTACTTTTACACAGTTATAATAGCTAATCAACATAACAAACTATATGGTTACCTCAAACCTTCTGTCTAATAAAAAGGGTTACCTGTGTTTCACAACGCTATTCGAGTTTCTTTCACTATTCAACTTGTCGTATGCAAGGATCTACACCAAATTGACAAACCAAAGTCAATTTCACCATTGACAAAAATGCCAATTACAATAACTAAGGACCTAATCACTATCATTTCCAGTATTTATACTCGTTCACGCGTATTATAACCTATTATCACTCAATACAAGTTTTTACCTTTACCTAGTCAAATTTCTCTTACTACACTCTCTCTAAATTAGGTAAATTGAGCCTATAGCTTTAAAGCTTTATTGTTCCGACTCAAACCAATCACAAAGTACTAATTTAGTGCCAGAGGACCTTTCTATTACTATAAGGTAAGAAATGATTTCCTTAAAACTTTTAAATTCAAATTCTCAATGTTAAAACTAAGAGAAAATAAGGTAAATTAGAGGTTAAGGTAGTACAAGACTTACCCGATTAGTAATAGTCGAAAATGTCATCCTTTCTCCTGAAATCACTTGCCCTAGTAGAGCACCTACTCTTCTCCACGCATGAATCCCTTCTTCCTTATTTCCTTTTTGTTTTCCATGAGCATACATGTCCCTATTTGGCCAGATTTTGCACAATGAGCCACTGCACATTCATCCTTAGCCGTGGCGTGTGGCACAGTGACGAAAACCCTCACCATACTCACATGCTCCTCTTCGAAATGCTATGCTTCTATTTATATCTATTTATATAATATCCTAATGTATCAAAATAATATTTCACAACCCATTATCCTAATTTCATATTAAATCACAAATTCATTCCTTAATTAGCATTAATGCAGGACATTAGAAATTCAAGATGTTACATAATCTCTATATAAAAATAATATAAGCTTGGTTAATAATATGCATAAAAGGTCTTAAGTAGCATCAGGTCTCCTTGTCACACTCGAAACGATGCAAAAAGTGTGTGAGAGTAAAGATTTCAATCTTTGAGGTGAAAACCAATTGAATGGGAATTGCCATCAAAATTTTAAGAAAAATCTTTAAAAACTATTTAAAGGCATTAAGGAATGGTTTGTGTAATCAAAGATTGGGTCCGAGAGTCAATTGTGTGTAGGGAAGGTGTTAGATGCACCATAACATCCGTTCGTGACAATGGTTATCCAATATTAATTGTACTAAATTAATATAATTTTAAAGTTATTTTAGTTACCATTTCTTATTCACATGTTTGATATCAAAAATGATAATAATAAAATGAGAAATATTTATTTATTTACAAGATTGAACTTGACCCAAAATTAAAGTCTGGAGCCTACATATCCTATAATAAGGATTAAAGTCTATAGGGTTCAGGATTGTAATTTTGTTTGTTGGTATTTTTTTTGGAAGAGAAATTAATTATAAATAACTTACTACTCCCTCTATCCCAAATTATAGAAAACTTTTGAG